AGCTTTCTCATTTTCAGGGTTTTGCTAAGCTGCCTCTTCTATTTGGATACCTCCTCACTACAACCCGTTCTGTTGGCTAACTTCTCTTTAAACACAGCCCTTGCCTCCTTCAGGAAGTTCTCCCTGCTATGCTCTGCACAGCCCTCCCCACACCGAACCTCTGGTTAGGGTGTCAGTTCCCCAATCAGGCTAGACGTTTGTGACCCTCCCAGATCTATACCTGGTGCCCAGCTTTCTTAAGAGGCAGGTTTTCTACATGAAGACCCAGTGTTGGCAGTCTGTGACGAACCATCCACCCACATTGGAGTAGGGAAAACAGGTTCCCTTGTCTGTTGGGGTCACAGTTCTAGGTCTCCCACACATTGAGAGCACTGGCCTGGAAGGGGAAATCTCAGGCCTGGTCTAAGGACTATGCTGGGGGACCTGAGTGGCCCATGGACTGGTGGACAGGGGGCATCTCCCAGAACAGAACAGCTGTCTCAGGAACTGATACAGTGACCCAAGGGCTGGGTGGACCCTACCAGAATACACACAACAGACCGGCTCCTCCTTTGCCTCAGAGTCCAAGGAGGTTGAGCAACATACCACCACACGGGGCAGGTGTCTTTGCTCTTCAGGGCCGTAGATGCCTGGGGGCCGAAGCACACATGTCCGTAGAATGCCTCCTCCTAAAACACAGAGGAGGGCAGTCAGGGGGCTGGGGAGTGGGAGATCCGTAGGAAAAAGGAAAGAAACGTTGTCCATATCTGTCCTTACCTGGAGAGGTTAGAGGGGAAGATGTACCCTTGGGCTTTGCTCATTCAGTTAGTGGACTATGTCAGTCAATGTGTTAGTCGTCCAACAAACGCTATCCAAGTTCCCCTGCCCTGATCCCTGGGATGGACGCCATGGAGAATCCAAAAGAACTAGTCCTTGCTTTCATGATGCTCACCGGCCAGTGGTCAAGGTTAAGACCTAGATGCAGTATTTGCACGGCCCATGAGAGTTTACCCAGCACTGGACACACATGACATCCTTTTCAGCTCTTCTTAATGTCCTACTGAGGCCGTTTTTCAGGTCCACACACCTGCAGGCCAATAGCTCTAGCTCTTTCTCTTTCTGGTCATCAGTTAGATAGTGACCATGAACTTTCCCTCCCCCTAAGGCAACCCTATCAGGGGGGAGCTGGTATTAACCCTGACATAGGAATGAAAGAACGAAGGCTCAGAGAAGGAACTTGGCTTGCCTTACGTCATATAGCTCGATATGGTGGAGTTCAGATGGGAAATCAAAGCCCAGGCCCTCCTTTCCACTCATACTCCCACTTCTGTGAGCATAATACAAACAAGTAAGTAGACCCTGTCTTTCCATCTGCTCAACCTCGGTTTCCTCGCCTGAAGAATGGGTGCTTTGTAAATGGTGGTAGTTGCTGAACTTTCCAGATGATCAATGAGAGAGTAAGACTAACACCATCGGCACAAGATGTCAGGGATCTGTCATCCAAATACTCACTTTATCTGTTCCCCAAAAACTCACTGTGGAGTCCCAGGCTTCCCAAACTCTCCATCAGTGGAGGAAGTGGGTAGACATGTTCCCCCTTGGGAGGTCTGGGAGTACAGTCTTAAGGGGCTGTAAATATATTTTTCTTTGAACTTTTTTCTTAAGAATGCCTACGCAATTTTCAGTTGGTTCACATAATCCACTTGTGTTTATATATAAAAAAAGATTTTGAATGACTTATTTTGTAAATGAATTCTCCCCCCTCACCTTCTCTCAATTCCTCAAACGAAGTGGAGTCTCCAAGAAGCTGTCCCCCAGCTTGTAGCGTGTAGTTTCTCTGAAGACTACACGCTAGTTAGGGAAGTCCACTGTAGAACATCTTCTGTGATCTGCAGCCCACCCTCCTTTGGGGAACTTATCTCTTTCTGCAGAGGTCTTGGGGGGAAGTAGTAGTCATGGCCCAAGATGGATCAGTCTCAGCTGGGAACTTAACTCTTGACATGACTGAAACCAGGCCCCCAAATCCTAAAAGTGAGTTCACCCTGAAGAGACTGAGTGTCAGCTCTGGTCTTCATGTTCCGGAAGCAGTCCCACACCGTCTTTTCCAAGCCCCATGGTCATTTTTCTGGGAACTAGCTTGCATCCTGCCAATATAACCTTTCCCCTTTCCCTTAAATTAGCCAGGGCCAGTGTCTTCTGGTCATAACCAAACACCCTGGTGCTCCATCCTCCAACTTTACAGTGAGGGTAGAGGAGTGGATGTCGCTGTTGTGCCACTGAGTTGATTTCAATCATTGTGACCCTTTATAGGGTCTCTGAGAAGCAACTGGTAGATTTGAACCACCAATCTTTCAGTTCAAACTGACCTTGTGGCCTAGTGCTTTCTCCTATGGTGCTACACCTGGACTCCAGGACTGGATGGTGGCCCACTCCAAATACGTTCCTGTCCTGAAACCTGAGAATGTGACCTTATTTGGAAAAAGGATCTTTGCAGATATAATTAAGTTAGGAAGCTTGAGGTGAGATCATGCTGAATTATCCCAACGAGTTCTAAATCCAATGACAAGTATCCTTATAAGAGACATACAGAAGAGAGGCAAAATGGAGAAGAAACGGCCACGTGAAAGGGAGGCAGAGATTGGAGGTAACCCAACCATAAGCCAAGGAGGCCTGGGGCTAACAGCAGCTAGAAGAGACAAGGATTCTGCTGGAGATCCATGGAGAGAGGGGAAAACCCTGCCAACACCTTGAGAGTGAATAATTTTGTTTGTGGTCATTTGTTATGGTAGCCTCATGGGATAGCAGTGACAAACCTAGATCCGCACCAGTTGGGGATTCTGCTGAGCCAGGAGAGCCCCAGGGACCAGGAGGGTAGCTTTGTTCTTGTTTTATTGTTAAGTGTCGTCAAGTTGGTACTGACTCAGAGCGACCCTGTGTAGGGTTTTTTGAGGAGCCGCTGGTGAGCTTGAACTGCAAACCTTGTGGTTCAAACTGACTCAGCAGTCCAGTGCACTAACCCACAGCACCACACCAGGAGTCCGGTTGAGCAGCAGGGAGTGGCAAATCACGTGGGGTGACCGAGGCTGGACTCCTGGGCAGGCAGGTATTACGTTAGCTTTTCTGTAAACAGCCTACAGCTAATTTTAACTCTGGGTCACCTGGTTTTGTGTGTGTGTGTGATGGGGGGATGGGGCAAGGGGGGTCAGGTTGCAGTTGGCACTGGCCACTGGGGCACTGGGCAGACACCTCACAGAGTGGCCAAGCCCAGGGTATCCATGACTCTCTTGACCATGGTAAGCTGGGGATGCGCCTATAAATAATTCTCAGTGGAGGATTGGGTGTCTGGCATGCAGCCTGCCGGTGTGGCCTGGGGAGGCCCTGGGCAGAGAAGAGAAATCAATTGCATAATGTCACTCCCCTGGGAAAACCATGCTGAATCTTCTCACTGGGATCAGTGGACAGGCCCGGGGTGACTCAGGGGACGGACTGTAGGGAACAGAGAGCCCTTGCTTGGGATCTGCTCAACTGTGGCTGCAGTGTAGTGTAGTGGTTAAAGCCCAGGCTCTGATGTTAGAATGCCCTGGGGTTCAAATCCCACCTCTACCACATGGTCACCTTGAGCCTCAGTTTTCTCCCCTGAAAATTAGGGATTATAATTTCAACTACTCCTCACTCTTCAAATCAGTTCATTTGGTTCCTAAGTCTTAAATGATGACCCAAACCAAGTTATCTGATTTTTCAATGTTTCTGAATTTCAGAAAGTGAGCAGTGATCATTTGGAAAGGAAGAAATTGATTTGAATGACTGGTTTCTGAATTTGGAAAGTAAGTGATCACCTCAGGTTCCCACCTCACAGGGATGTTGTGAGGAGTTCCTGAGACATGCCCTTAGATCAAAAGGAAAGCTCTGGCCCAGGGATGAAGCTCAGAAGGCAAGAAGGGAAAGGAAAGAAGTACAAATGGTGGATGGAAATGGGAAGAGTGAAAAAAATTTATTAAAAATATAGGGCCTGGCAACGGAGAAGAGCCAAAAGCGGGACCCTATCTAAAGAAGCAGCGAGGCCCGCGATAGAGGCAGAGACAATGATGTGGAGTGATGAAGCGGCTGGGGACTTTGGATCCAGAGAGGGAGAGGGACTGTGTGCTGAAGACTGGGGGGAGGGAGAGGAGTGTAGGGAGCGGGTTTATAGGGTATACCCTTTGGTCAGTTGATGATGCATGGAGGGGATTGGAACCATGGCAATGAAATGATATACGATGGAATGACTATAAAACTAAAGTTCTCTCATGTAAACTATCATATAATTCACAATAAAACATGAAAAAAAAAATAGGGCCTGGTATGTAATAAGCACTCAAAACATGGGGACTTTTTGAGGGGGCCTCAAAAAAGTTTGTGGAAAAATGAAAAGAATGGAATTTTCCCACTTACTTTTTGAAGCTCCCCTCGTATAACAAAACCTGTGGAAGCCAGAACCTGTGTAAGATGGAAACCTGTCAGGGAAGGAAAATGCAACTATTTCTCACAAAAACCACTGAGAGCAAAGTGGGAAGATGCACCCTATCAGAGAAGGAAAACTTTGAGACCCCAAAAAACAAGGCAGTCCCAGAGCATTCCAGCTCTCCCTGATTTCACTGTAATCTCTGTGTTCAGAGGAGGCAATGCGGGCAGGCAGCTGAGGCAGATGTTTCTGGAAAGTGAATAAAGGTGAAGCTTCATAGCACCTTCACTGGCATCGGCCCTTCCAAAGCACTCATCATGATTCCTAAATTCATATATAAAGAACAGCAAGAAAAACCAAACCTTATTCTATATTCACGGTTCCTAAATTCATATATAAAAAATAACAAGAACCAAATCTTATTCTATATTCATGATTCCTAAATTTATATATGAAGAACAAGAACCAAACCTTATTCTAGATTCACAATTCCTAAATTCATATACAAAGAACAGCAAGACCAGAGTCAGTGACAGCCACAGAGGACTAGAGTGGAGAGTGAAGCGTCCAGCTGATAAGAAGAGAGGGCATAT